ATAGCAAAGTTGTGTCTCAGTTGAACTTTTACTTAATAAATGCACTTTGATGGCATTTACACGGACGGACGGACTTTTCAACATGCAGGAAATCCAGTAAGAAAAATGACAACTTCCTGCAGAACCTCTCGTCAAGACAAAACTTCTCTCCAAGTTTCAGAAGTTCCTGTAAAAAGACGCCATGCGACGCGTTGGGTGTTTATCAATCTTCAGATCGTGTTTTAAAACTCCGTCACGTGGCGTCCAGCTTTGACCCGTTTAAACCTGAATCGTGGTTCTGCTATGACGTCTGAGCTGGAGATCCACTCAGAGCTGGGCTTGGATCTGTCCGAGTCGAAAACGAACCCTTACCTTCTCCCAGAGTCTTCCCCAGAGTGAGTTTGTGTCGGTCCACCATCACGTCCTGGAGTTTCTGTTTCAGCTCGTCGCTGATGCCCAGGCTGTTCACTGAAGAGAGAAACATCTTTAAACCTCTGCAAGAAGCATTTTAACGAAGAACATGTCAAACAGAGCGAAAAACCACGATCCAGACCACAACAAGACGGTGTAGTAGTGAAGGAAAAGAACCACGTCTGAGCGTGGAAGTCAACTATTGTTCCACACGAAGCCCCAAAACACACCAACACAGTAAAACGTCCAGATGACCTGACGGAACACTGTTGGATTATTACCTGGATTATTGAGCATGGACTTGGGTGCACACACTGCTTCAGAGTTCCTGTTGTCATATTTAAAACTTTTAAAATACTTGAACAAGTTTTAAATGAGTCCGAAACAAACATGGAACTGAAACGAACCAGAAGTTTGAAAATAAACACGAGGTGCAACAAAAAGTGTCAAAAATGGTTTAAAAATGAGAAGTGGACTAAAATAAGAAAAACAAACTCAAGCTTCTCTGGTGTTTTCTTATTTTATTATTATTAAACCTTTTTTTAAACCAGATTAAAAAACCCATTGAGATCAAGACCTCTTTTACAAGAGTGACCTGGCCAAGAACAGGCGGCAGCAGCACACGTCATAAAAAACAAAACAAGTTGCAAGATTAGATGAAGACTTCAGAAATATATAAAAATATAAAACTACAGTGAATAGCAATAATTGTAACATGTTTTCCTCAGGTGTGGGATGGGTCAGGTCCTGATTGGACCTGGTTCCTGGAGTTTTTGGACCTGGTTCCTGGAGTTTTTGGACCTGGTTCCTGGGGTTTTTGGACCTGGTTCCTGGGGTTTTTGGACCTGGTACCTGGAGTTTTTGGACCTGGTTCCTGGAGTTTTTGGACCTGATACCTGGGGTTTTTG